ATTCTTTACTGCTTCTTCGCTAGCTATCCCACATGTGATAGCTATTTGGTTTTCGTTCGAAGTAGCTGACTGTAACGGAGGTGTGGCTTCCTCGTTACTTACTCTCTGTTGAGCGCGTGTAACTGCAGCATTAGCTTCAGTCAAACCCTCATTTTCATTATACCAGCGTTCGATTTCCTCACGCGAGGGCATCTTTGCTCCTGGAACTGATCCAAGGAGTACGTCTGCTGATGGTCTCTCCAAAACACACACTTCGGCAACCCCTTGAAAATACGGGTTATTTAAATAGACTTTTGCTAAAGGAAATCTTTCTAAACGACCACCAAAAGTACGACACTTGCAATACCGACCTAAGTATGCCGATTTGGGGATTAGGTATCTAGCCACTCCTATAACATTGGCGCCTGTGTCACGTAATACTTTAGATTTTATGTTTCCAACATAACCATTATGCAAAGGCAAACCAGCCTCCAGTGATACAGCAGACAACGCTGGGTAAACAATTTCTGGATGGATTCGAACCTGACCATCCGCTACATTTGTCACTTTTTGTGACATCGCAGCGTTTACTGTTTGCGCGGAATTAGCATGACTGTTCATAACCCTTGGGCACTCAGAACGTTTATGGAAACCACGGCATACATAGCACCTTATAGGACCTGTGTTGCGTTGAAACCTACCTCGTGAAGATGGACCATCATCATCATCTTTCCTGTGTCGCTTGTGGGGACAATCGGGAGTTTTGTGCCTCCACGAAAGACAGATTGAACAAGGAGATGAACGGGGTTGATAATGTTCACCCTGCTTTTTGGACGTTTGATCTCTATGGGGTGGTTGTCTCTGTTCGCTGTGGCTGCGATAGCGCCCCTGCCTATTATGGCATTTGTTCCACCCGGGCCGATTTGACGAGGCGTTGTGGTGCACCCTAATACTGGATGCAGCTGGGAGTATGTCCTCGAACCTGGGGTTGTGTAATGGTTTACCAGGATGTGCAGTGACATACTGTTCTCCCAATGTTGTCATCTCCTCAACTGACTTCGGTTTCCTTTCTTGAAAAAATGAGAACATCTCCGAACTACATGAAGACAAAATTTTATCTCGAATAATGAGATCAGCCAACTTATCATAAGAGTTTTTAACATCTGCCAATGTCACCCAACGCGTAAATAACGTTCTAACGCGGGCCACAAAATCAGCGAAACTTCCATCGACGGATGGCACAACAGATTTAAACTGCACACGGTAACCTTCTTCGGTCATGCACTTCGACGCCAACAGTTTTTGTTTGACTATTTCGAACGACGCGCGTTCGTCTTCTGATAAGTTCGTGAACGTGTTCAAAACTGGTCCCGTTAGCAAATCCCTTAAACGTGATACCCATTGTTCCTCTGGTATCTTAGCTGTATTCATCGCTAACGAGAAGCGATCCAAAAAATTATGAAGATCTTCTGTAGGTGTAAGAAACGGTAATTTGGGTATGTATACACATGCCCCTTGTTCAGAACCCGAACGGCTACTAGTCACAAGACGACGGCTCTCTGATTCTGACATAGCAACAACCTTGTCTCTATCTATACGCGCTAGTTCTAATTCGTTCTCCAAACGTAACCTTTCCAAATTAGTCTCCATTTCGAAACGCAGTCTCTCCGCCATAGCTTCTTTTTCCCAGCGTAGTTTCTCAGCCTCAGCTTCTTTTTCCATGCGTAATTTCTCCAACTCCATTTCTTTTTTCCAGGCGCGTTCCGCTGTTCTCTCATCGCGTAACTGGTTATCTCTGTCCGACAACTCTTTCATTCTGGCTTCGGCGAAAGCTAAGAGTTGTCCATTTTCTAGGCCTATACTACGACCTAACTCCAAAAACTCAGCAAATGTAGACATATTTAACTAATATGACAATCAATATACAATATATGATATATATGATAGTGTGTGGTGAAGTGACGCCACAGGACAACGAATACTGCGTACTGTCACACACGTACAATTAATGTGCCACTCGCTCTCCACTTGCGCACGGAAAACCAGGACTGATCTCTGGAGGAAAGAGTTAAAATTGTCAGCGCAACAGAAACCACAACAACCACAATTGACTTACCAATTGGGTGGCGTACAAACAACACACTGCAATGTTAGCGATGAAAAATCGCTAAAATAACGACCGGTACAGCGGCAAGTAGCAGATCAATGTACAACCAAAAGGGCGACTTGATCCGATTCAATCCCACGGAGAGTGGCGCAGTCAGTAACGGTGACTTGATTATGATGAAGATCCAGCGAAGTATGATACGGAGATCCAACGAAGAGTGATCCGGTCCCGATGAAGATCCAACGAACGAAGAATGATACGGTCCCGATGAAGATCCAACGAAGAGTGGCACAGAGATCCAACGAAGAGTGATTGATAAAGTCCAGATAAAGATCCAACGATGGCTAGAACAGACCGGCGGCGGCGGCGACTTGATACATTGAACGATATCCACAGCTAGAGATATGTTAAGACTGTGACAACTGGAATGTGCTTCGTGTACAACTTGAGGCAAAACAATGCGACAAAATGTCGTATCACACTTGTGACGAGAGGTCCTTCATTCTTTAAAGGCTGGCCTCCATTGATACGTGCGGTCCTTCATTGTGACGTGCAGAGCTTCATGCTGATGTGTGTGGTACCAAGATGAAATAGGCCAAGTAGGGGTAAAACAGTAGTTACTTCAATGCTTTCAAAATGTAGAGCTCGAACGCTATGCGTTAAGTTCCAACGGTTGTATTGATATATACAATCAGCAATGATTAACACAAAGGATACATATGCAAGTAATAATCAACTCGTTCAACCAAAGCTCGCTCGTACATCCATGTAATGATATGTCCTCACGATAGGTCGCAGTCCGACCTTGAGATCCAGACGATTTACTTTCTCCTCGGACAAGTCCGAATTAAGCAATGAAAGTATACCGGCTTACTGCCGAGAATGTAGTATTAACCAGCTTCCTGCTGAGGTCTATCTTGGAATCCCGGGGTAAAACGTCCTCAAGGATCCAACTTTATATAACGTTTGCTTCCGTAAGATCCCGGGGTAAAGCGTCCTCAAGGATTCCCACGTCCGTCTCCTTCGGACTATAAACATCAACTGCTTTGACAACAATATTATCATAACAACGTTACGTATTGTTTTGACGTCTTATTTGCTCACTCCGTACCGGTGCGTTCTGGTGCACATTCGCATGTGCAGGGAAATAAAAAACGGTTGTACACGCAAAAATCAGGCCCAGGTGAAAGCCAAAAGTCCAAGCGGACGATTACCTGACCTTCCACTGGAATTCACAGCCAGTGTTCGATGAAAAAAAAAAAAAAAACTAATCAGTTAGCCAACCCACCATCAACTAGCCATCTAATCAACCAACCAGCCAACAAATCAGCCAACCAACTAATTAACAAGCCATCCAAGCATTTAGAAACCAGCCAAAACTCAGCTAACCAACATTGCAAATTGGTTTCTGATACACCTTGTAATGAGGTTGCATTAACCCTTTAGCTGAACCTAAAACACCCCGAAATGAAAACCTGCCAAGCACAAATGACCAATCTGCTCCTTTGCAATTTGTCTGTATGAAACAATAATATAAGAACTTGCAGGCCTATCAGGCTTCAAAAGTTACAAGAACAAAAAAAGAAGAACTATTTTCCATATCTTCAGGCGTATTAAGCATAACGGTCTGGATCTATATTTTATAGACCAGTCTGCACTTTGTGGGTGATGTGGTCAGCATCACGCTAGGATTTAAGAGCATAGGGTTAAGATGTTTCTCTTGCAGCACCAGGTTAAGATGTTTCTCTTGCAGCACCAGATACAGATGTTTCTCTTGCAGCACCAGGTACAGATGTTTATCTTGCAGTACTAGGTTAAGATGTTTCTCTTGCAGCACCAGGTACAGATGTTTCTCTTGCAGCACCAGGTACAGATGTTTCTCTTATAGTACTAGGTTAAGATGTTTCTCTTGCAGCACCAGGTAAAGATGTTTCTCTTGCAGTACTAGGTTAAGATGTTTCTCTTGCAGCACCAGGTTAAGATGTTTCTATTGCAGCACTAGGTTAAGATGTTTCTCTTGCAGCACCAGGTTAAGATGTTTCTATTGCAGCACTAGGTTAAGATGTTTCTCTTGCAGCACCAGGTTAAGATGTTTCTCTTGCAGCACCAGATTAAGATGTTTTTCTTGCAGCACCAGATTAAGATGTTTCTATTGCAGCACCATGTAAAGATGTTTCTCTTGCAGCACCAGGTAAAGATGTTTCTCTTGCAGCACCAGGTTAAGATGTTTCTCTTGCAGCACCAGATTAAGATGTTTTTCTTGCAGCACCAGATTAAGATGTTTCTCTTGCAGCACCATGTAAAGATGTTTCTCTTGCAGCACCAGGTAAAGATGTTTCTCTTGCAGCACCAGGTTAAGATGTTTCTCTTGCAGCACCAGGTTAAGAGGTTTCTCTTGCAGCACTAGGTTAAGATGTTTCTCTTGCAGCACCAGGTTAAGATGTTTCTATTGCAGCATCAAATTAAGATGTTTCTATTGCAGCATCAGGTTGAAATGTTTCTCTTGCAGCACTAGGTTAAGATGTTTCTCTTGCAGCATCAGGTTGAGATGTTTCTCTTGCAGCACCAGGTTAAGATGTTTCTATTGCAGCATCAGGTTGAGATGTTTCTATTGCAGCATTAGGTTAAGATGTTTCTATTGCAGCATCAGGTTGAGATGTTTCTATTGCAGCATTAGGTTAAGATGTTTCTATTGTAGCATCAGATTAAGATGTTTCTATTACAGCATCAGGTTGAAATGTTTCTCTTGCAGCACTAGGTTAAGATGTTTCTCTTGCAGCATCAGGTTGAGATGTTTCTCTTGCAGCACCAGGTTAAGATGTTTCTATTGCAGCATCAGGTTGAGATGTTTCTATTGCAGCATTAGGTTAAGATGTTTCTATTGCAGCATCAGCTTCACATGTTTCTATTGCAGCATCAAGTTCAGATGTTTCATTCTGCCATCTGCCATTCATCTCTAGATGATGTGACCCTCACCTTGGCTACCGCAGACAGGCCTGATCTATTGCTCAATGCCAGAGACAAGGTAATTCTTTCAGTTGCGTGTTAAAAATATTGCTGAATTGGCTCTTTCCATTTCTCATCATCATTTGCCATGCCAATAAGCATAGTCTGTTGTGTTTCACATCTTAACATGTTCAGAGTTTTTTCCTCAGGGAAAATATATGCTGATATTTAATCAAAAGTCTTTACAAAAAAAGAAGGTGCTATTACTCGCCACAAAGTTTCATTTATAGTAGTGCTGAATAAATTGATGCCTAAAAAGGTGATGGTTCAGGAATTAAATACTAACCAATTCTTAATATGTTCTCTTACTTTTTACTATAGTAAAAATGGGAGCCATGGTAAAAGAGCGGCTAGATACTTTTCTGCTGGACTCTATGCCAGCCATTTGAATCCACATAATCTGATTTGTTCAAATTCACTTTCACTCCTAAGTCAGTCCGTCTTAATATGGGTACCAGAAAATGTTCTGGGAAGTAAAGATGTTGACCATATCATAGACAGAATGTCCCTTGATCTATAAAAATATGGGTCTCACACGATATGCCTGACACACCATTTGCTTGCAAAGAACACTTTATTTTCTGTGTCTCTCCAATCCTCTCTGTCACATGATATTTTGATATTGCTTATTTTATTGTCAGTGTCCATGGCTTAGACATTGCAGTTGTGCTTCGTATTCTGATGTACCCGGTTCAATTCCAGCAGCAGGCATTTTGGCGGCAGACCATTTTGTGTTGATTTTAACAATGGTATCAAGAGTCAGCCCTTCACAAAGCATTAGCAAGCTACTGAAAATAAATTTGGCTAGTAAAACCAAACAGCCAGGAAATGCTGAATTTTGTTCTGCATCATCCTTTAAAAGAAATGCTACTAACTTTTATATTATTATTCATTTCCATTTGTTGCCCATCTTTATATTTTCTGTTACTGTGACTTAACTCTTTGAGTCCCAGAGGGTTTAGCATGACAGGCCCAAGGGGTAGTCAAAAGAGACTAAAATCGGCGCATCATGCATTCATTGGGCATCTAGGCAGTAACCTATGAACGTATGATGCGTTTCTTGGGACTCAAAGAGTTAATTTTGACAATTTTCAAATAGATAGGGCATAATTTCAGCAAATATTTGAATATTTCTGCTTTTTATTTAATTGCAGGGTGGTAGAACTGGTTTACATTTATGCATCCTTCACAGGAGAGCAGACGTGCTGAAGCTGTTACTCTCTCATCAAAATCTTGATATTACTGCAGTAGATAATGTGAGTAAATATCTCAGCTCATTCTGTTTCAGTGTTGCCTAGCAAATTGACAACAGTGCATAAATATAACATGTTGATTGTTGAATTAAGAATCAACATCACAGTACTCAAAATATTCCCACAAGTGCTCCTTCAGCAGCAAGTGCAGAGTTCCGATACTGATGGTATCCATAACAACCTGACTGTATATTTTTCTCACCTTTTCTTTGAGTTTGAGGGTCAGCCAGATCCCCTGGTCAATCTTCGCAGGACCATTCTCCTCAAACCTTGATGATCTGTATATGCTTCTTCACTTTTCATTCACTCATAAAGGACCCTTGCAACATCTTGCTTATGATACATCATTTCACCACTAAGTGATGCAGAACTAGCCAGTTTATGTCTATGTTCATTTCCCAATACACCAGCATACTTTGCAAAAAATACCCGAAGTATGCTATCTACTTGGGGCCTCTAGGAAAAAAAAATTAGTGTCATAGCATTACTGCCTTTTGGATGTGAATTGTTAGGCCATCACATATTCTTGTTGCTGTTGTTGACACCTTTCCATCTTTCCAGAATATAGTGCTCCATTATGTTCTAGGAAGGCTTGAGAATCACAGCCCATGGTGACCACAGCACAAAGCCTGGGCAGTACAGTAGAGACCATGTGTTACCCATGCAACATGATCTTCGCTCAGCCTGTCTCGTTTACTCCAAATGAAAGTTTGCTACTCTTTTTCTTAGCGTTCACTGTAAACTCTGGTGGAAAGTTCTGGTTGTTTGTCCATTCTTGAACTTAAGTCTTGTTCTTGAACTTGAGTTTTATCTTCACATCCATTTTACAGATCTGGCTTATTTGTTAGCATACTATTGCTTCTTTGCCTCTCAAGCAGATGTCCTCTGACTTCATATTAGACAAACCCAAATTAGTTGACTTTTACAGCAAGCTTGTTAGAGTGCAATTAATCTTTCTTTTCCCCTCCACCAAAGTGGGCTCTGGAACGCACATAGGGAAAGTGAAAGGTCGAACCAATATGTTTGCAACAAAGAATGGTGCAGAAATTACTGAATCAGAAGAGAATTGCTCTATTTGTCTGTCTGTTGGAACAACAATGCACCTTTGCCATTGTCACTATATACTCTTGGTTTCCTCTTCTTACATTGTGCTCAAAGAATGTAGATTCTCTCATTCTTATGTGGGTAATTTGCTATCTTTATGCATTAATTTCTTTCATTACATCTTTATTATGCTTTTTATACGTTCACGGTTGTCAAATCATTCTTAAATAAGACCACATCTCTACAATCAATCCTAAGAGCACCCAGAGGCGCATAAGGTAGACACATCTCTACATCTGCCATATAATTCTTCACTAACCAGTTAACTGTCCCTGATTCACTTCTGTATATCAAGATTGACACCTACAGCTATTGTTATCTTCTTTAGCTTGGGCGTACTGCGTATCACTACTCCTGCGCTGTGGAAGAGAGCAACGAGAGGCACATGTTTGTACATCTACTAGAGGCTGCTGGGATTGACACTGAAGCTTTGGACTATGTAAGAAGTTGTTTCCTAGCTTGCACATGTGTGGATAGTTATTTCATGAAATAGGAGAAATATGTATTGTGGCACCCTAACTCTGTCAGCCCCAGATAGGTCTTAAGGAGTTAAATTAATAACTTCAAGAGACATGAGGAGTTAAGTATACAACTGGGATGTAGCAGTTAGTGTGACAACTAGAGATGGTACACCTAGTTATGAAAGGTGTATCATGAGTTGAGTTAAGAAACAACATTGTAGCACTCAGCACATTACCATAAGCACTCCATCTCAATCCTCAGCAGCTTGCAAAGTTACAATTCAGATGTTACCAGTAACAATCTGATTGCATATCCATGTTAGTTAGTTAGTTAGTAGGGTTATCATCATTGCACTCCGGACATGTCCATAGGTGCTCAGATCCTCCCCTCAGTATGAACCCCAACGTCCGATGGCTAATAGTACCAATTCTATGTTGATTAACAAGTCTTCTGGCGTAGCTGGTGTGCGTCTCGTTTTTTGCTGTGCCGATCTTAATTCCCAAGTCTGCCATTCTGGCGAGTGATGTGGATTCACTGCCACCAAAGTCCTCTATCCTTCCCATTTCTCTGAGGGCATTGATAATATCAGCATGATCCATAGGCCGACCGTCGGTAGTGATAGCGGATTCAGCCAATCTGTCAGCTCTTCCATATCCATGGAATCATGCATATCCATGTATCATGAAGATAGAAACTAACAAACAGATTATTGATATTGATACTGCATGAGTTAGTAAAAAGAACATTTCTCTTTTCTCAAATATCACTTGGGATCTTGAGGGGAAATGCAAGGTTCTGTTTCTTGCTCTTCTGGCTGCATCAACCATGGATTAATTGTACAGCTGTAGAACTTCTCTGATGTTAACTTTCGATCTTGTTGTTTTTGGTTTCCTGGGGCTCTGCGTCTCCATACATTTTTTTAAAAAATGACTTGTCTGGTTTGACATCACAAGGCAGGCTCTGTAAGTGGGCAAACCATTTTATAGAACTTCTTCATCTTAGGGTTCACTGTCTATAAACTTTAGTGGAAAGTTTTCTGGTTTGTCATCCACTTCTAGATTCAGGTCTGATTCCAGAACTTGAGTTTTCCATTTACATTGTTTTGTTAAACAGGTCTGGCTTATTTGTATGCAGACTGTTGGTTTCTCACCTCTCAGGCAGATGCCCTGTGAGGTCAAAGAAAACAGTCATAATTAGTCAACTTTTACAACATGCTTGTTAGTAGGGTATTGGGGCTATTCTCTTTCTACTCTACTTCCCCCTTTTCAATAGGCCTCCGAAACCTACGCAGTAAATTTCTGAAGACAAATAGAAACATATTTTTTGTAGAAGATTAAATAAATTTGTAACAGAAATTAAAAACAAATATTCTGCAGCTTTTTGTTTGTGCTTTCATTTTTTATATTGTTATAATTACTAAATATATTAATGGGAAAACATTTTGATAAATGACTAAAGAAAAGACAGTACATTAATGAGCTGAAACACAATTTTTCAGAGAAACCATAAAGCATCAAGCAACTGTAACAACTCCACTGCAGCTCAATGGCTTGATAAAGAAAGAAAGGTAAAATATAGTTATCCATCACCATCATGATCATATACTGTGCTGATATCTGTAGGCTGACATGTTTTGCCATCACTCTCAATCCCCTGAATCACAGATCGTGTTAGTTTTCTTGTCTTTACCCATCTATATGGCCAAGCCATTCAAGAATGTATCTCTTTGTACTGTCACAACAGGTTCTATTTTCACCACAGCAGAAACTGTATGTTGAATTAAGAATTGACATCGTAGCACTCAAGACGTTCCCATAAGCGCTTCCTCCCCATCTTCAGCAGCAAGTGAAGAGTTCCAATTCCAGTGGTACCAGTAACTGTCTGATTGCATATCAATCTCACCCTTCTCCTGAGTGTTGAGCGTCTGCTAGATCCACTGGAAACTACTCGCAGCACCATTCTTCTCAGACCTTAATTATCTATCTGTGCTCCTGCACTGTTCACACTCCCAAAGGGCCCTCACAACATCCAGCTTGTCATATATAAATTCACCACCAAGTGGTGCAGAGCCAGCCAGTTAATCTGCCTGCTTATTTCTCAACACACTGGCATTACCTGTGGTGTTATAGTTGGGAAAGGTGTACAACTGCTTCACCTTACAGGATTAGGAATATTACTTAAGAGATAGGAAACAGACAGTGTGACCAAAACCCATCTGCTGTATATTTTCTAGGTTAACCACTCCCCATGACCAGTACATTCAACTGTAAACAGACGAGAGTCAGCTTTGTATTGTACTGTTGTTACCCATCATGTCTGAAAACAATGTTTTATGAACTCTGGATATCAGCACCATCCTCAGGCTAGCCGTGGTAGCTATCTGTGCCGACAGGTCAAAGCCATATTTTTTGAAATCAAAGACATTACACATTTCTGACTCTCTTCTGTCACTAAAGTCGTCACATTAACTAATATCAAAATTGTTACTTTTACTCTTTTTGCCTCCTGTCGTTATTATTTTAAGTACTTTGGATGCAAATATTGGCTACCTGAACATAGAACTTCCATGAATAGAAGGAGCAAATGATTATAGCCTGGTGACAAAAGAGTTAAGGAGGGCTATTCTTAGACTGTCTTCCCCATGTGGGTTCTAACCCTCCTCCACACTAGAGTTGTAAAAAAAAAGGGGGGTGGGGGGGGGGGAGACCCACTGCCCCCATAAATGCTTGTCATAAAAGGTGACTATGATGGGTTTTCCGTGTAAGTCCGAGAGCATCTGCCTGATAGGACAAGCACCTAGTCTACACAAAAATAAGCCAGATCTGCAAAACAGATGTGCATCCAAAACTCTAGTTCTGGAACAAGATTAAAGCTCAGAAGTGGATGTGCCACAAGAACTTTCTACCAGAGTTTACAGCTAGAGAGCACTAAAAAGAACCATGTCAAAGTGGGAGATGCTATCATATATGTTGAAGGTGGCATCTGAGCAGCTGTAGATGTTTCTGGAGTACCATGAAGATAACCCAGCTCATATAAATTATAACTAATCAGAAGAAGAAGACCTAGACTGGTCATCTCTCAATCCTAAATAAATCCTAAAGAACTCTTTAGTTGTAAAATCCAGATAATCTTTAACAATTCTACAATAGGTTTGTTGGAGTTGATCACTTAAACCTGTAGTTCCCAATTAGATAAGACCATGGACATCCCTTATTCTCAAAGTATATTAATAAAGTAGCAGACAGTATATTGATCGGCACTCATAGAAAGAAGTAGAAAGATAAAAGAACACACTAGACAATATAAAAATCAAAAGGTATAGTTACCATGCTGGGAATCGAACCTGTCACCTCCAGATGGCGTGTGCGCCTTGCTATGGAAACAAGTGCATCAAGAACATGGTCAACTAGGCATCTCCCCCTCTGTTTACTTATTTTCAAAGGTATGCCATAGACTATGCTTTCTGAATCACTTACACGCATGTGCATGCATTCACACACACATACTTATTCACACAGAGAAACAAACAAACCCCTAATAAATCTACTTTTGAATCACAATAAAAAGAGGGTTGAGATTTTACATGTGCATGTAAATGATATCGCTTAAATTTATTCCTTGGACCCATGGCGTTCAGCAGACTATCAGCTAGCAATCACTTAAAATAAGTTTTCTTGTATTCCTGTTCAACTGTATCTCTAATTTCAGATGCACTTTGGGATGGGGAGACAACTGACATGTGTGGACAAGGTAAAGTATATAGTTTTGTCAAGAATTAAAATATACTCATTTCACATATTGGCCTTGACCAGTGTTTAGTCTTTAATTTTTCCCAACACTTTTTCTTTTTGCTTTCTTAATTTTTGTCCTTTCTTTAATTCATTAAATTCCACACTTCATCAATTTCCTGTCTGGAGAGACAGAACTAACACGACAGCCTGTAAACATTGTAACATACATGAGCCTATTTCCCATAAAACCACAGGGAAAGATAAAACAGTAAAGTACAAGAACACAATTAAACAGAACATCACATCACATGGTTAAAAAGTGCATCGCGCGATTAACTCTTTGAATCCCAAGGAACGGATCATACGCTCATAGATCTCTACCTAGAGGCCTAATGAATGCATGATGCGCCAATTTTACGTCTCTCTTGACTACCCCTTGGGCCTGTGATGCTAAACCCCCCTTCCCCCCCCCCCTTCCCCGGGATTCAAAGAGTTAAACAGTGCATCACATTATATGATTTATATGTACATCACATGACTAACTAGAACGTCACATCACATGATTAAATAAGTACATCACATCTCATTTTTAAACAGTAAATCACATCAAATAATAACACAGCACATCACATTACATGATTAAAATGTACATGACATCACATTATTAACCATCACATCACATCACATGATTAAACAGTATGTCACATCACAGGATTACACAGTACTCGATCACATCACGGGATAAAATAGTAGATCGCATGATTACATGGTAGATTACATCACATGATTAAACAGTAAATTACATTACATGATTAAACAGTACATCGCATGATAACACAGTGCATCACCTTTTTACATAAAACATCACATCACAGGATTCACTAGTACATCACATCACATGATTACACAATACATCTCATCACAGGATTAAACAGTGCATCAAATCACAGCACATGGTTAAGCAGTACATAATCATACAGCTCACCGCAAGAACAAAGGTTTACATATGAAGTGTTAATATATCCTAAGATAGAATGATGGTATCCCTGATAATTATAAATATTCCTAAAGATAGATTACATATTATGATTATCATAATTATTCAAAAAGCACACTTAAAATAAATTTAACTCAACAATCCATATTCCTACAATCTGTTAAAATCAATAAAAAATCTGTGCAATTTTTAATATGCAAAAAGTTAATTTGTTAGTTAACCAACAGATTATCCTTATTAGACAAGTCCTTAAATGCTTCGATCTTATCTTCAGTATATACTTCAGCTTTATGTGACCGATAACACCAGTTCTGTATTGGTTTACTATTCTTTTTTGGCTACCTATATAGTGTTCATGTTTGGCAACACCTCTTTTGAGCTGCAGTTCTTGTAGTCCAGTGTTGCCAATTCACTGTCATCTCCTGAATCATCTTCTCATCCTGTCTCCTTGAGAGCATTGAGAATGTCAGCCCGGTCTATTGTTTTTTCTGTACCTACCATGGCCCTGCCACAAGCCAATCCATTCCTTCATTCTCTCTTACCCCAGAGTGTCCTGCACAAAAATGAAACTAATTCCTTTCAAACGAGATTTAATCAGCGACTTCAACCATTTTCTTCAAATCCATCCTGTCTCTATCTTCTTAAGCATGCTCATGAAATCTCTTAGAAAGCATGATTGAGAAAAATGATGTGTCTCTGGCGACAATGCATATGAGTGAATATTAAAATTACTGCGTTAGCCTAAGCTTTCATGACTTTGTATGTGATAAACTGACTCATGTTTTACTAAATTTCCCTGAGCTTTCACAACTTTGTGTGTGATAAATTGACTTCAACGTGTCTATGTTTCCCTTTCATGACTTTGTGTGTGACAAACTGACTCCATTTTTACTACATTTCTCTCAGCTTTCATGACTTTGTGTGTGAAAAACTGACTCCACTTTTTACTACATGTCTCAGAGCTTTTATGACTTTGTATGTGACAAATTGTCTCCAATTTTACTACATTTCTGTGATCTTTCATGACTTTATGTGTGACAAACTGACTCCTATTTTACTATATTTCCCTGAGCTTTCCTGACTTTGTATGTGACAGACTGACTCCAATTTTATGACATTTCCCTGATCTTTGCTGACTTTGTGTGTTTGACAAACTGACTCAAATTTTCTGTTCAGTATGAGCAGCTCTGCCACTTGATGACACAGAAGCGGAAACAGTTGAAGCATTTTGAGAAGGCCATTTGCAAATTCCCATATCCAGTTTCAGGATTTTCACATACTGTGAGTTATAATCATTTATATGAGTTCTCACGCCAGTGGCATACTGGGTATTTGATGCTAGACTCAGATTCGTGCAGATCAGTTATTGATATTGTCGTCTTTACTTCCCAGGACTTTACCTGGTGTTATTTTAGGCTGGCTTGACCTGGGAATGAAGATCATTTAAAAAAAAAATATCAGATTAAGCTGACCTTCAGGCCAGCAGGTGATCATCTAATTGCTATGCCATGATGCTTCCATAAGTAATTATAACAATAATATTGCAAGTAAAAAAGTCAAGCCCACAAACAGAGTGACTTCCCTTCCCATTGATGCCTTGTTTTGACGCAGAGGCATCTTCTATGTTGCAGGGGTGTTTGTTTTGGCGTTAGGTGGGCGTATTTAATGTTTGTGGTGGGATTGTGCTGTTGTGAGTCTATCTGAAGAGCTACAGGCACCTGTATACAAGATAGAAGTACTGCTGGGGGAAGTGCGACAGTTTGCGTGCATCGAAACTTGGATGTTTTTGTATTTCTACATTTGTTGGTGGTGGCTTTCTCCCAGTGACAGAGAACAAACTGACAAGACACGTAGGCATAAAAAAAAACATAACATTTTCCATACTCCTAAAGTGTTGTGCAGGTAGCAAAACGTGTAAATAATCATGCAAGCCAGCAGTGACAAGACAAAGAGAGAGGTTTAAAAGCATTGACAATAAGGATTACCTGACACTCCTGCAACATAGAAGATGCCCTGCATCACAACGAGGCATCAGTGGGGAGGGAAGACATTCTGTTTATGGGCCTGACTTTGTTATTTGTTCCACAATATTTTTATAAGATCTCTTAGAAAAGCATGCAGCCGTTAGCTGGGAAAAATACAGTTACTCAACTGCATGTCTGAATCCCTAGTCTCCTTCAGAGCAGTCTTCATATGACCACACTAATTCTCTCAGTGGTCCTCACATTGCTGGAAATAATACAGAAAAGCTTCTTTGAGAAAGAAGTAGGGCTCACCTAACTGACTTCAGCATGTCTCAGATCTAGTGCCTTTCAGCAGCATTTTCATCTTCAGAAACAGTCAAATAGATCTGCATTGGCTCAAGATCTTACATCATAGCACTCCAGACATTCCTACCACCACTCAGTTCTCATTTTCATCAGCCGGAGCAGAGCTGCATTCCAATGGCATCACTAGTAGCAGTGTGATTGTATGTCTGACCAGCCTTTCCCTTAAGTGTTGACTGTCGGCCACATCCCTTGGTCACTCCTTGCTACACCATTTTCTTCTGACCGTTATATATGTGTGCTTCTATTCACTCAATCCCTAAAGACTTGCAGTGTCTAGGTTGTTTTGTATCAGTTAACCACCATGTGGCGTAGAACCAGCCAGTCTTTCTGCCTGTTGTTTCCAAAAATCCCTGCATACCCTGGAGAAAATATCCAAAGGCACTAACTAACCAGGACCTCAGAATTGATACTTTTGCTCTGCATGCAGCATACCTTTGTGAGTCAGTTACAATCATGATATCAGCCTATCATCTTCAGCTGGGGAACAGTTAAAATCACCAGAAACCAAATCAGGAGAGAGCAGAGCCTGGGAAACCCGAGGAGTCTTGTATGTCAAAACAAAATAAGATTCAGATGGGAATATTGGGCTGGGGGTCAGATGGGAATATCGGGCTGGGGGTCAGATGGGAATATCGGGCTGGGGGTCAGATGGGGATATTTGGCTGGGGGTCAGATGGGGATATTTGGCTGGGGGTCAGATGGGGATATCTGGCTGGGGGTCAGATGGGGATATTTGGCTGGGGGTCAGATGGGGATATTTGGCTGGGGGTCAGATGGGGATATTTGGCTGGGGGTCAGATGGGGATATTTGGCTGGGGGTCAGATGGGGATATTGGGCTGGGGGTCAGATGGGAATATTGGGCTGGGGATCAGATGGGGATATTGGGCTGGGGGTCAGATGGGGATATTGGGCTGGGGGTCAGATGGGGATATTTGGCTGGATCATTGTCCTGGTGGAGCTGCCAGTTGTTTACATTGTACATCAGCATTATTGATTTCTGGCTAATGTTGAGGGCCTCGGGTAAATTTTTTTTTCTCAGTTTCGGGATCGTTGATAAATCCTACTCCATGCTTTGCACGTCATATTTCCTCTACTCCTGATTGTATCAAAAATGTAAATAAAACGTAAGACAGAGACAATGGTCATAGGAAGACAGAAAGACAATTTAGAAATAAAATTAAAAAACAACAATTTAATACAAACAGAGGAATTTAAGTATTTGGGAGCAGTTTTCACATCCGACGGAAAACTAGACACAGAACGAACGAACGAACTTTATTTTTAAAAAGTCAGAAATTAGGAACGCAGACCTGTCTTACATTCCGCCTTTCCAAACTCCCATCTTTCACACAGTAGTTGTATTTTATCAATAAAGCATGTTATGTTCATGTAATAATATGTATATTATGAATTTCAATTCAAAAACAAAAGCATGAGTGGTAACATATGTGCGCACGCTTGCGCGCAAACACTCACACCCACATACACATGCAAACCCATTCACTCACTTACACACACATAGGTACCCAATACACACATACATCCACATACATATGAACATACACACACACAGACACATACATACATGCGTACTTACACAATACAGACAGACAGACAGGCAGGCAGGCAGACAGACAGACAGACAGACAGACATACATACATACATACATACATACATACATACATACATACATACATACAAACACACACACCACACTCATAAACACATAGTTACCCACACAGACACACGCTCTAAAACACACACATACATCCCAGACACATAGACACACAGCTATACACACACACACATACACACAGGTAGCTGTACAAAAAAGACACCTACAAACACGCACACCGCCACACACAGACATAAATCCACACAGACACACACACTTGCAGCCACAGGCACACACACAAACACATACACATGTGCAGGCAGGGAAACACAAAGACACAGACACACACATAGACATACGCAACACTCACACATACAAAGATACACACACAGACACACACACAGTCACACACGCAGACACACATACACACACTGACATACACGCAGACACATAAACTGACACAAACAGAGACATACGCACATGCAGACATTATATAATAGACACATTGATAGAGAAATTAGCTTGAGATGTGCCAAAGCTAACCAAGTAATGGGGCAACTGTCTCCCTTGTTGACACACAAGCAGATATCCAGGAGTACTAAAGTGAATCTTATCAGATTTATTTTTTTGTCTAACACTATGTTATCAGTGCCAAACGTGGAAACTTACATCCTCCATTTAATTTAAAATTGTGACAACAGAAATGAAATGTCTTTGAAGAGCTGCAGGAGTTTCAAGGAAAGACAGAATACGAAATCACGAAATCAGATAAATGCTAGGAATACAATCAGTCTTACAGGTCATCAAAGAACAACAAATGAAGTGGTTTGGACACCTAACAAGAATGCCCTGGTACTATCTGCCACAGCGAGCCACACTAAAATGTTACAACGGGTATTCTTTTTCCTCTTCCAAAATGGGTCCTCAAAACCCACATGAGGAAAATGGGTTATGACCTGATAGCCCTACAACTCTCTGGACATGTGCTTACATTTCCATAACATACACATCAGTGGCCTACAGCTATAGTGCCATACCCACACTGGTTAACAAGACCTTTCATGCCTCTTGTGTGCCTCTCATGCCTGACTGTGCCAATCTTTCTCATAATGATGAAAATGTAAGGCTGTTTAACCATGTGATGTTCTGGTTAGTCATGTGATAGATCAAGAGTGTTTCCTTTGGGAAGCAATGAGTGTGATATTTCCTTTTTTCTATGAAGTGTTTATGTCCAGTTGGTGAAGCAGTTAAACCATTTGATCACCCTCTGCATGTCCTGTGTTCAGTTTTAGACTGTCCTTTAGTTGTCAGATATTGAGATCTTTAATAGTCATCGCTGTAGCCATGAAGTTTTGTACTTTGAGAGACACTCTCAGCAAGTGACTAGAACCCTGGATACCAAGTCATTTGGAATAAAGCCAGTTGCAATTAAGCAAGTCCTGTTGTGTATAAACTACATTTGCATGTTATTTAATTCATATTCTATCTCATTAGCTGTCGCCAGTTCTGTCAGATTACAGGGACCTAGTGTTTGTGGCCATGGATAACGGCAAAGAGGACATTGCTGTGAGACTGATACAGCTAGGAGTTGACTGGAGGAGAAAAGAGTTTGTGGTAGGTTGCTTCTCTGCAACTTTCTGTGTATCTATCACCCAATACTTGTTCAGCTTCACAATGTATCTTTACTGCTTTTCCCCCATATGCTTGTACAAGTTCACATTAGTTTTCCGTTACATTTCCATCCTCCTTAACATCTTATCATAAGCTTGTAAATATCTTTGCTTTTTTTTCCCTTTCGGTTTCTTTTCTCAGGTATTGTACTTTTTTTACATCTAGTTTACACTATTGTCTTTAAGGCCTATCTGAGATTCTAATCTCCATTGAGCATTTGAGAAGAAACATGTTAGATACCTGTGATGACAGCAGTGGTCTTGAAATCCAATGCTTTTACTATGGAATAAGTTTCTGAATAGGAGCAGGTCTTGCTAGTCACACCCACCGTCGCCATGGTTCCCATACCTCCCTTAAGCACACAATAACACTGTTTTCTGGAAAGATGGAAAGATTTGAGTTAGTTGCATATCCTTTAAAGGACATTGCAGAACCAGCCCCAGCATTTGTTTTGGCTGTTGTGGTTTTTCTAGGAAAGATTACGTCCAATAGTTTGCCATTGCTTTATGGACGGTCGGCATTTCGATACCACTGTAGAAATCAATGCAAGACGCAAAGCCCACAGCTGGGATCAAACCCGGCACCCTGGCATCATGAAGCACATTTGCAACGTCTAAGCCACAGACACCGACAAAGGAAAGATACCAACTAAAATATCCACATCAAAACAAAGATTAAACAATAACCTGGGATATCAGGTCAGCCTAATTCAAAAATGAGTACCAGAAAATTATCTGGAAAGAAAAGGCAAGCCACTTTGATATTGTCATCACTCTTTGAGTACGAAATGATGTATACAAATACAGGGCTAGCACCATATGTCCAAAATGTAGACAAAGTCCCCTTTTAACTTTCTTATATTGTGCCTGCTATTTGCTTAGTATACAACTTTGTTGTCTTTTCTATTTGGATCCATTGTAAATCTTTGTCATCATCTTCTTCGTTTCTCTTTAAAGGGAGAGCATCACATCTAGTCATATGCTTCTCTAGTTAAATAATGTTACTCCTGTGAGTAGTAGTAGATTTTTACCCCACCAGGACATCACACAAGCAATAAACACCTGATGACACAAAGTGCCACCATGTGGATGAGGATCACCGTGGAGAGGTCCCAGAAACCATGTTTAGCCATTAGACCATATTTATTTCCGGGCAATATTGCGACCCCTCGCAAGAGTCAGAGTGGGGCTTCTTATAACGAAAAATTGCATCTCACAAGGAGATGACTGGATTAGTTCCGAGGCCCCATTTTAAGGGAAAACAGAATGCACCCATTGCCATCTAACAAGCAGGTTGTAAAAGGTGACTAATTTGAAGTTTGTGAAATAGGATGTTTTGGGTCGAAAGGCACAGATACCACAGCCTAGTCATAAACCACAAAACAATATGTCAAAAGCCTTTTAAGAGCAAAATGCAGAAGATGAAGAGGGGAAGGAAGAGGAAAAGGATGAGGAAGAAAAAGAATAAGAAGGAACAGAAGAAGACAGAGAAGGAAGGGGAAGAAGAAGCAGCAGCAGCAGCAGCAGGTAAGGGAAGCTGTTGCAATATGGTATTGACCTAGTGTTACGTGCGGTCCTTCATTGTAACGAGTGTAAAAGTGACTAGGGGTGTCAGAAGTTAACAAGTGGCATCAACACTTAACATGCCACTGGCCAAGAGTAATGAATGCTGAAGCTTCCGTAGTAGAACAAGAACTCTCTTTAAAAGTTCCATTTGTGTATTGACAAATGCAATGCAATGATTAATTTCAAGAATACATATGCAAGTAATAATCAACTCTTTCCTTCATTGTAACGAGTGTAAAAGTGACTAGGGGTGTCAGAAGTTAACAAGTGGCATCAACACTTAACATGCCACTGGCCAAGAGTAATGAATGCTGAAGCTTCCGTAGTAGAACAAGAACTCTCTTTAAAAGTTCCATTTGTGTATTGTCAAATGCAATGCAATGATTAATTTCAAGAATACATATGCAAGTAATAATCAACTCTTTCAACCAAAGCTCGCTCGTACATCCATGTAATGATATGTCCTCACGATAGGTCGCAGTCCGACCTTGAGATCCAGACGATTTACTTTCTCCTCGGACAAGTTCGAATTAAGCAATGAAAGTATACCGGCGTACTGCCGAAAATGTAACGTTTACCAGCTTCCTGCTGAGGTCTTGGAGTCCCGGGGTAAAACGTCCTCAATGATCCAACTTTATATAACGTTTGCTTCCATGGGATCCCGGGGTAAAGCGTCCTCAAGGATTCCCACGTCCGTCTCCTTCGGAATATAAACATCAACTCCTTTTGACAACAACAATATCATAACAACGTTACGTATTGTTTTGACGTCTTATTTGCTCACTCCGTACTGGTGCGTTCTAGTGCGCATTCGCACGCGACACCTAGCCTAATAATGATAGGCACCAGTCAATCTTTAGAATTTAAACTTAGAGAAGAAAGAATTCGGACTTAAATGGTCTGTATAACAGCTTTAATACTGGCTGTAACAGTATAGTGTTGTAGATATGGGGGTATTTCTCTTTACTTACCACCCATAACATTTGTGAGATACTATTAGGAGTTTAAAAACACATTTAAAAAATACTGCTTAACGTATTTTAAATGTTATGATATACTAATCCATTATGACATTACTTTGCTCCCCATCAGTGAGTCAGTAAAACTTTTCTATCATGGTCAAAGGGAAGGAAAGCAGTTAGTTCTTTCCTCTGTATTTAATTCCCTTACTTAAAAGTCTGGTTTTGCTTGAAAATAATAATAATTATTGTTATGAATTATGTTCTTGATTTGATGAAAGTGATGTAGCTCTCAACACTTGCCTACTGGTCTACTGCTTTGACTACCTGGATGTTTGTAAAAACTGTCCAAGACTCAAAATTGCTTCTACTTCTTCTTTTCTTCCTCTAGTTTCTTAGAGGGAATTATAAGGATGCATTTCTTTTTAATGACTTTTTTTTTTAAAGGCATTTTTCTGGAGATAGGTTGTGTGGATCCATACCCAAAAAAAAAAAAAAAAAAGATACTATGAGAGGATGAGCACAATTTATGTATAATCAGTGTGCCACTGGAACAATCAAATACATATTGTCGCTGCCTTTCTTACAAGGACATTTTCTGGTGCCTATGTTAGACTGTGTTGACCTGGGAGCCCTAGGTAACTTATACAAATCTATGTGAGATAGTTATGACCAACAGTAGAAATATTTAATCAGCTTGCTTCTCTGTTCCCAGATATTGCCTTATCCTGACAGTGCAGATGAAGGTTCTTCAACTTTGATGTCTGTAGCAGAATATGCCGGTCATTTAGGACTGCAGAAGCTCATAATGGCCATCAAAATGAAGACAGACTACCAACAGAGTCAACTGATTTCTAGAAAAAATAAAAAAAAATGACTATGTCAGAGATGTCAATGATAAATTAGTAGAAGAAAGAGTCGAGATTGTGCAGAAGGTGAGACAACTGGATGAAACCTGTGCCGATGAAGAGGCAGATAGCCAAAATACTGATGTTTGTTTAGAAGAAAATCTACTGGATAATAGATCCAGTTAGTATTAGCAGAGCTGAAGATAACAGGGGATTTATCTGAACTGAGGCAGGCTGAGTTTTTGGTATCAAACTCAAGGTAGATTAGCTCTTTATATTCTGAGAATTGATTACTTAACTCTTTCGGTCTCAACAATTTGTAACTTTAACTTGTTCTGTTTTCATCAGCTGTCACTTATACTAGCTAAGCAAATAGACAACCCATTTGCAGCAAAGTAAGACATATGATGCCATAGCTTCTACTTTGACAATGGAGATGGGAGTAGTCTCTGGAGTCTTAGGCTGACTTGAGAACGTCTAGCATACATGTGTTGTGATTGTCACAGACCCATAAAGCATGCTGAGAGAGGTGGAGAAAGCCATGCTCCATGCAGAGTGGCAAGTGTCACTTCAGAGGTCCTGGATAATAGTTCTTTGGATATTTTCTCCAAGGTATTCAGGTGTGTTGGCAAATGAACAGGTAGACAAACTGGCTGGCTGTTCACCATTTGATGGTAAATGATGCATAACAGGCTAGGTGTTATCAAGACTCTTTGGGAGTGAGTGAACAATGCAGATGCACAAACAGATCATCCCAGTCTGAAGAGAATGCTGCAGAAGAGAGGGTCTTACCAACACTCAGCATTTAAAACAAAGTAGGATGGATATATGTTCAGACTGCTACTAGTACCATCATACCTCAGCTAACTTTAAAATGAAACTTTGCATCAAACGGACATTTAACAGCAACCCTACTAAACAGACAAAGAAACAATTGAGACTGAGTTGACGAATCTAGCAAAAAAAATGTTTTAGAAAATCATCATATCACGTAAGGAGTTACCAATCAACATAAAATGAATTGTTTGTATTGAAGGAGTTAAGAAGTTAAGTAATCAAAGTGTGGGTCCGACGAGCTGCAATACTAGCATTATGGGATAGGAGAGTAAGAATTATGCTGACTATTTAACAACTGGATGCGTCAGAGAGTTAAAGTAAAAATTGGGGCTTGAGTAGGTGAATGTAACAACTGGATGGCTAGGAGTTCTCGGATCTTCCATCTATCCATTGCTTGCATTGGAACTGCTTCCATTATGTCTAAGTGACAGGGCTGTCTGTAGTGTACTGTGTGGTGGTAGTCTTGATGTGTGAAAACCATTTGATCTGTTGTCTCTTGATGTAGTTTAATCCTGAAACTGTCCCAACTTCTTTCCTTATATTGTCTTTTCTAAGCGTGTCTCTTCTAGCTACATTAGGGATTCGCCATAGACATTTTCTTTTTGTTGTGTTGACTTTTCCCCTGTCCACATTTGCCACTGATAACACAATGTTGGTAAAAATGCTGTATTGAATAGTGCTCTTTTCTGTGTTAGTTGTTAAATGCTTGTTTTGCAAAATTGGTGACATTTGTCCAATGATTTGATTTGCTTTAATATATCTGTGATCTTTCTCCACTTCAGTTCTTCATTGGATGCTATTGTGATCCCTAAATACTTGATGTCTAATGCTTGCTTGAGTTTTGTGTTTTCTTTGCTTATCTTGATTGGTTCTTGTGTTCTTGCAATTGTCCTAATGTCTGTTGTTGTTTTTTTTTCAATGTGAATTTTCTTGTTTTGTTCTTTTGCCGCTGTATTGAGATTATCCAGGTATCTCTGCAACCCTTCATGTGTGGTTACTGTAATAGGCTGGAAAACTACTGTTCAGCAGCTCAACGATTTTGATTTAATCTGGTTTAAAAATGATTAAGAGGCCACAGGAACATCTATTAGGTTCAGTTTGGAGTGTGTCATCAAGTATTATTGTTTTATGTCATCAAGTAAATAAAGTTTCTGTATTTGTTGACTAACATTCTTGTTATTTTAGTTAGTGTGCTGAGATTTTACTGTTACACTTTATTAGACCCCACACAGAAGATTTCCTGTCAGGGTGAGATAATTTTGATCTTACCCCCGCCTAAACTAACTTTCTCTTTTTTCTTGTTACTGGGGCAGCCTAAGGTTGGGTTTTGGCTCCTACTTGCCATGTACATTGTTAGAGCTCTTGTAGGTTCGGAGTCAACGAGGTTTCAAGGAGTAGATTTCCATATTATCCTTTATAGCTATCTCTTCTCTTTCCGCCATTACAAGTTATCCCTCTGCTTTGCTTCTAGTACATTACCATGAGGAAAAAAAAGTTCATTGCATTTATTGTCTTCATTAATTTAGGATGCTCTACTGATTTGATCTATTTATGTGATAAATTGTGGGGGTAGGGGTGTAAAACACATCCATGACTGACTCTAGATTGTAAAGAGAACTTTGCAAAATCAAGCTCTCAGAGTCATCACAGGAGGGATGAAATCAACACCCATATTAGAAATGGAGAAAGCTGGGAAAACACAGGCACTGAGAGAACCAGAGATACACAGTTGCAAATACAAGCTGAAAAGTTCCTCAGTATGCCAGATTACCCGATGTAAAATAGATTTAAGAACCTGGCCTTGGGATGGTTAAAAAGAAGCAGCTTTATACACCAAGCAAAAAGAATATGTAGACAAACTCCTGACCTTCCAGAAATTGGTTGCCCACTTAAAAGTATTCCGGAACAAACCCCATGGAGAGAAAAATTTAAACTAACGGTACAAATCCAGACAAATGTGAAAGGGATATTTGACAAGAAAGAGCAAGATAGTGTACAACGCAGAATGGCTACCCTCAGTTATATTGATGAAGAATACCCACAAGAACAATGGGTCAGAGTCTATACAGATGGGTCCGCAGAAAGTGCAGTTAGAAAGGGTGGCGCTGGAGTGTACATCGAATTCCCAGATGGTACTAGGGATAAGTCCAGCGTAGCAACGGGGAAGTACTGCCATAACTATGATGCAGAAACCCAGGCTATCAAGATAGCTACAGAGAAACTGCTAAATACCAACCTTGGCTCAAAGTATGTGGTAATGCTGACAGATGCTAAATCAGTACTTGAAGCACTCCAGTCTAGGAAACTACAAGAATTGCAAACACTGCTGACACAACTCAGCCTTCAGCGAAGAGTCGTAATGCAGTGGATACCGTCTCATTGTAGAGTGCCTGGAAATAAGAAAGCTGATCAACTGGCAGGGGAAGGTGCGACAAAAGTGCATCCGAATGTACCAGTCACATACCACCAAAAGAAAAGAATCATTAAATCAATCAGGAAACCACCAGCCCCAGCACAAGACGACTATTTTATTATGGACAGACCAGAACAAGTCATTATCCTCCTCCTCAGAACAGGGCACAACCGATTACGTAACCACATGTATACAAAATTCAAGATAGGTGTATCAGCCATGTGCACCTGTGGAAATGTGCCCCAGACAGCAGAGCATGTACTCCAGGACTGCACCGATTTTGACACATTGAGGCAAACCTTTTGGCCATAAAGAACAACAGTGGAACGTAAACTCTATGGACCACTGAATGAACTAACGGCAGTGAAATTTATGCAAGAAACAAAACTGCTGATATAGACAACTTATTTCAGGCGAACGAAAGAAGAAGAAGAAGTAAACTTTTCTGTCATTTTGGCATTTGTTCTCACCACACCTTGGTTGTTGTAATATATACATTTACATATGTTTACTAGATGCTGGCTAACTCCATAGATGATTAGTATTATTCAAACTAGTTGATGGTTGACTCGATCAAATGCTTTCTCTTGATCTAACTACGAGCAAAAAATAGCATAATCATATTCTGTTGTTTGCAACCTGTCGCAGTGTGAAGATGGCATCTGTACAGCTTTTGTTACTTCTGAAACCCATTTGTGATTCACTGATCTAAAGTTCATTAATTGAGCGGAACCTTTTTTCAACAATTTTACAAACAAAATCTTTCCAGTGTGGCTCACTCAGCAATGATATTCCTCTATATACAATAAAGTCTTTTGCTGCCTTTATTTTTTTTCCAGACTGGGAGGATGATAGTCTCTCCAGCCTTTAGCTGCTTTCAAAACTAAATGACACAATCTGTGCAGCCAGTCTACTCCAAAATCTTTTGCAGCTTTGATCAGTTCGGCAGGGATGACATCAAGGGCAGGTGACTTGTTCATAGGGGTGGTTTGTTTTGCTTCTCTATTTTTGGTTCAAATTCAGTTGTTTTCATTATTCAAGACTGCAGTTCTTCGTTCTCTTCAGAAGGAATATTAAATAGATGGCTGAAGTATTTTTGCCACCTGTTAAGTTAAGGTTTGGATCATTTAGTGCTTTAAATATTTTTCATTTATAATTTCTGTATGATCAAAGCTCCCTTCTCTGGTTCTTATTGATGGGATTTTCATGTAGACATTTTTGACTGAACCTTTATTGTCAGTATTTAAGCTTTCTCCGAATTCTCTCCCTGACTTGGTTTTCATATTTTGGATAATTTTTTTTATTTTTTTTTTTTATTTCTGGAAAGTTTATATTGTATGTTTTTGGGGTTGTTTTTTTTTATGGCTCTTAACCCATAGTTTATACTTCTACTTCTGTTCTCTTACAGCATTTTCACTACTTTATTCAAGAAAGGTGTGATCTTCTTCTTTGTGTTACTTGTCAATGGGCCAAAAGGAGTTAAAATAGGAAATGGGGATTTAATTGGTGAATGTAACAACTTGAACAACTGAACTTTATTTCCAAAGGGGTACAAACTGGGCATGCACGCATGTCTTACATTGGGCCCTTCCAATCTTTCAACACTTTTGCATTTTATGTATCAAGAATTTTATGTTCATATGTCAAAATGAATTGTCAATTAAAAATACAAAGGCCTGGATAACAAATGCATAATTTCAAATATACATGCAAAAATGCTTACTCATCACAAACACATGCAAGCTCACACATACACACTGCCCTTACACACCGAGAGGC